GTGAATCTTTGATAACGGTCCTGCCAATTCCGGCACTTTGCGAATATACTCGCAATACTATAAATTCTAACGCGAGGCGCGGAGAAAAAAAATAAAAATTGTCTATAAAAATTAAATATATATATAATATATATATATATATATATATATATATATATATATATATATATATATATAATTAAAAAATATTCAATACTCAATTAAATAAGTAATTGAAGAAGAATCCCTTAATTGTTTGAGCAATGTATCTTATTTAACGGCACATATAATTATGTAAAATCCAACATGCAAAAATCTATGAACAGTAAATCGCATTGACTTTAATGAATTTTATACACACTCATTATCTCAGTACTTAAAAGTAATCATTTTTTAATTTTTATGACTCACCGACAGATCACGAACTCAGTGTCAGCCACGTTCGGCAACAGATCTGGAACAAAAGAACAGAATTTTGATGATTAAACTTAAAGACTAGACTTAACGAAAGCAAGTACGAGTGAGTTATTAATAATTCTATGTCGTCGTGATTTAACGTAATTTTTCCGGTAACTCAGCTTACGAACGCAAAGAATTAAATGAAGGGATATGTGGAATTTGCGAACACACCTTCGAGCTGACTCTGCTCGGCCCGAACCGGATCCTCCGGTACAGCAGCTGTCCCGGAAATGCGTCCCCGGAACTACATCCATCGCGCGCGGTCGCAAAACCTCTCGGATCTGAAACAAAAAGAAGTTGTCGTAGTTAGTAACAAGAATAGAACGGTTATTCAAATTGCACAAATTAATAATCTGAAGATTTCGATTGTATTTTCTCATAAAATTTAATAGAAATCAAGTGTGGTATTCACCTAATAAATTTTACGATACGCCTCTCGCTTACGACGAATTCACGTGTGTAAAACGCAACGCGAACATCGCGAAATATCGTTACGATGCGTAATTTAATAAAATTGAAAATCACGCACGGCGTCGTCTCACGTATTGACTCAATCGCGTCTGCGAGTCTTATGACTGTACGAGCGCTCGGCTACTAACGCCTGAGTACGCGGCGCGCTGAAGGTCGGACGACCTTCGCGCGATAACACGCACGTACGCTCAACTTTCCTTTGTAATATTTTCGTATAGGGTGTCCAAAAACTATCGTACACAATTTCTATTAGAATTTTGGTTTCTATCTGAGTCTCAGGACACGTTTTTCGAGAACATTTCTCTTCGCGAAACAATTAAAATCGCATACGTCGCGTTATACGCGACAACATAATTGCGTACATGAGTTTTGTGAGACGGCTGATTTTGCGGGCACGGGTTTATGCATATTCTGCAGTTGTGTTGTAATTTTTCACGTAGCTTTCTTTTTCTCTCTCTTTCTCGCTCGTATCAATCCGCGCGTTGCCGTCGAGACGGCGGGGTGTCAGGCGGTCCACGGTGATTGTCGCTTCTGCTTATAATACTTCCTGATCCTATTATTCGTGTTATAAGATAAATAGGTCAAGCTTGTCTCTCCTCTCCTTTTAGACACCCCCTGCCAGATCTTTTACCGTTATTTCCTTCGTCGCGTCGTCGCGTCCTCACCGTAGGATTTTCCTACCTCCGGAATTTTCTTTCATCTGTCTACACGACGCTCTACAACAACTACTTCGCCTTATAATTCGCTCATAATCGTTTACCGTTTTAATTGCGTCGGCTATGGATAAAACGGTGACACTTAGATTGTCTGGTATTAAAATTAACTGGTGCAATTCTGAAAGCTCTCTTCTTTTCTCTCCCTTTCTCGCGAGAGTAAAAACGAAAATGGTTTGAGCCGTATGTTCAAGTGCCGATTATCGAGCGTAGATGATTCATACTAATACGTAATATGTGTATATTATTTTTGCTAAGAACTCATTGTTAAAGCATTACCGGAACACAACAATTCAACCGGGAGCGGATGTTAATTAAAATTATTTTATAATGAATTATATTTTCATTTTACGCAGAGTCATTTTAGACATATCACTCTTTAATGGATTTCGAATGTTCGATGTAATTAAAGATCTTTTATTATGGTTACAGGGTTTCATTGAAACATACCGTTATACGCGCGATGCAATGAGGAATGAGGATAATCGAAAATTAACAGGTCGTTTTACAACTGCACTGTACGAAATTGTTTCGATTCGCCCATTTGCATAGCGCGCTCTAATTAATCTCGCACATAGCTCGTCAAATTCCGTACAGATATGACAACTTTGAACACAATTTTGGAAAATATTGATTTCGATAAGTTGACTTTGAAAGTTTCTTTCCATCTGAATGCGGGACGGCGCGACTTCGTTCAATAAAAATAAAGGAATCCGTAGAAACTGCTTGCCGCGATTTAACATCGAGGATTCCCACGCTATTAGTCAATAACTTTCTACGCTATATTATTCGCGGATACAATATCGATATTTATCGCCCCGTTGTTTTCTATGCAATGGGAAAAAAATTACCATCCTTGAATATTAGTCTTTTGAAAACAAAAGAGCAGAGGGATGGACTAATTCCGAGCGGAAAAAAATTTCGTTAGGTTTATAAATAAACGTATCGTCGCGCGTCCGCAGCGCTCGGCAGATATATATACAGAGAGTATTTTTTCTAGTTTATTCAATTAACAGGAAAATGTTATTGCTATGTCACATTTTTATGACGCCAAGCTGCGCGGGCGACCCCACGCGCGGAATATATAAAAAACCTCTAAATCGAGTAGCTTATGCAGCAGCTGGGACAGAAATTTCTGCGGAAGTATCATTGTCCCGTTTGTCCTGTTGTGTGCTGCTGGTGAATACTCTCGGTGAAAATTCGTACGAAAATATTATCGCGCATTCGGTTTGCACTATTGGGAACCGTTGAACTTTACCCTTGTGTGCATCGCACGTTTTCTTTATATACATATACACACATGGCGTTTTTCCTTTTTTCTGAGCTCGGAGAAATTCAAGGGCTGAAACACACAGCTTATTGTCTAAGGACCGCGGAATATAAAAATAATATTTTCGTGAAGCCGGCTCTTCCTATTTGCCCGCAGAAACATTCGCGGGGAATTCTATTTACGGTGGAAAATGCGCTCGGCGGCGTCTCCCACGCGGGCATGGAGGCTCGCCTCTTTCCAAAGCGTGATCGATTCAATCAACATCTACGCCATTATTCCGTAAACGACTGGATAAGCATCCCGACGCGATGGTCGAGTTACACGATTAATTCGATTCGCTTGTATCGCGCGCGTGTCGCGCTGCCTGCGCTTCATTGGCGCGATGCAAAAATCGTCCGACGCCGCTTCATCGCGCGCATACGTTTCGACGATAAATTATCCCGAGAACGGATGCGACGCGAGAATATCTCCGTAACGCGGAAATTTGACGAGGCGCCGGAGCGGAAAGCACGGAAAGTCTACGCGCTCTCGCATTCCGCGCCCTCAATCTCGATTTCGCCGGCTCTGAGGCGATTTTATATACGTTACGCATCGTATTTTTCCGCATTTCGCCTTACTTTACGCGGCCGCCACGTTGTATCGAGCGCTATCGCCATCGCCGCGGTATTTATTCATAGTGCAGCTGCGAAACAATCCGGGAACGCGTGAAAAATATGAGAAAGTAAAAGGAGATGTATTCCACTCGTGCAAGGGGCGGCGTGTTAGTTACAACCGTGTAGGACGCGCGATATTTACGGCGATTGCGTGCGCTGCACGATAATTTCGCATTAGAAGGATAATGAAGTATTATGCGCCTCCCCGTGCGAATTAGATATACACGTATTTGCAGAGTTAATTTATTTCGACCGGTCGTAATTATTAGAATCGTACTGGACGTTTTTAGTCGTATGCTGGCCACGCGTTCACTCCGGCGTTACGCAGCCACGAAAATTGTGTGACGTTTCGTAATCATTCCATCTCGAGTATATAACGAAGAGAGAAAATGCAGTGTGGAAAAAATAATGCAAAAATTCCGTGGATGAGGTTATACGCGTCACTTGACCAAGCGCCATAATTAGTTTCTCGCGAAAATCACGTTTTCTTCTTTTTTTTTTTATAGTCATTACCCCGCTTCTTTGAAATATGTAATATTTGGGCAAAATTTCATATCGCTATTTTTTAAAAACAAATGCAATGGCAATAAAATGAAATGAACTTGAGTTTTTCGAGAAACTAATTATGTTACTTGATCAAGTGATTTGTAATCCCACCCGGTGCTGCGTCCATATGTGCGATTGCGCCGTCAAAAACGTGAGCTTTTTACTTTTGACAAACTCGCGCATTCAGCACCGAGCGATCACTGTATCGAACACTCGTCGCTCGCAAATCCGTAAATGACTATCGAAGCGCGGGCGGACGCGAAAAACGCAATTGTCTAGCGACAATTGACGTTGTTCGCGGACGGGCGTGCTTCGTGCGTGCGTGAACAGAAGTTCGCTCAAGTGTCGCGCATACGGCAGCGATTCTCGCTAATTCGACGTCACGTCTGTGCATTTAATTTGCAGTCGCGAGAGGCGCGAGTCTCGCCCGAGTCGCGTACGCACGTCCGGGGTCTTCTGACGTTTATTCGCTTTTCCATAAAGTGCATTCTAGGGCACGACGGTGAATTGACGTCGCTGTCGAAAAATTGCCGGCGCGGCAGTATGCAAATGGCGTATGTATTTTTCACGAACGTCGTACGTATTTTATCGTTTCAGGAGGCGCTTTTCAGCCCGAATTTTCCGGCCCTATCACCAATCTAACCGTGCCGCTCGGGAGGGACGCCACTTTCACGTGTCTAGTGAAACATCTAGGAGGCTACAGAGTGAGTTACATGAAAAGCGACGCCGCGGGTCTGTGATGTCAGTAACGCTCGCTTAACTTCTCGGGCTCTCACTTAACTTCTGAAAGGACATGTCTTTAAAAAGTCATATCTCCCGCTGAGTCTCTCGCGGTATGTGCAGCGTGAACACTTTCCTCGTCGCGTGGCGTTCATTCGGTATACCGTGTTAATGTCGCTGGCCCGACGAACGTCATCAGGAACAATCCGCAGAACCGAATGCGCGGTACAAACAGAATGAAAGATAACGGCGGTGACGATTGCACTCGTCACATATCGCGGACGTGATCATTATTCAATATTTTTATACGATAGAGTCGCGACGTATACACATATTCATACAGAAATTACACTTCCCACGGAACGGAAACGTATCCGTAATGAGAAGAGTAATCCGACGAGGCCAGCGTAATGAATACATTCTACACGTTGAATAATAATTCGTCCGTACAATTTTCGTGAAATCAAAAGTTGATCTTGATATTTATGGAATTTTCACTCAGAAACACGCGCAAGAGAGGGAAAGAAAGAGAGAGAACGCGCGAGAAGAATTTTTCCGAGCTTTTGTCGACTTATCTCTTTCCTTCGGATCGGGAGCGAGAACTTTTATCGATACACGCGCCTATGAGAACATACGGGCGAAAGCGTATGACCGACGCGTTAACGAAATCTTCCTATGAAACTAATTCAGTATCGCGGATCGCGCGATCGATCGTGCTTCGCCGTGGAATAACTTGACTCCGGCACTCGTCGTTACCAGCGAATTCGCGCCTTCACAACCGGCGAAATTTAATAACACTTTTATCCTCGTCCGCGCCGGATTATCTTTTTCGCGCATTACCGTAGCTCCTCTCGCGCGCGTCCGCAAATTGCATTAGGTTGAACGGCGAACGCCGCTCTCTCATTACGGCGTAACCAGTTGCTTCTGAACGATGTGTTTGCTCGCAGTATCGGTCAGACGCGCTCAGATCAGGCTCGGGTTAGACCGCCGCAGCTCACGCTATCCCACACCCCGGCGCCCGTCGAAACGTAAACTGTAGAATCCGTAGTAGACCCGATTACGTTTCACATCGATCCGCGCCGGAGCACTCGGGTGAAATAGAGGCGAAATATCGCCGTGTCGGTGTATGTGTTTCGCGAAACTCGACGTTCGCGTGTCGAAAACGCTGCTCTCGCCAAGCAACCCCCGACCGTATTGTCTCCGCTACAATTTTCATCGCGCGCGTCGCATAATTATTATTGCCGTTAATTTGATCGCGCCCGCGCGACGCAACGAGTTGACGTCGATCGTATGTAAATAAATGTCAACGGCGACGTGACGCCGCGTGACGGTCGAATTAAAACAATTCCGAACCCACGGCGGTGTAGGGCCGACGGGGACGGAGAGGACGAGCGCGATAATTAAATTTATACGAAGTGCAACCGTGTAATGCGCTGGAAATCTGTCGTTACTGGGGGAGGTGGTCGCGGAGATAGCCTCTCCATTTATAGTCTACTTCCTGAGGGAATCTGAAAGTCAAATCCGAAGAATACCGCATCACCAAACGCGCGCGCGCGCGTGCGACCCATTTTACCGATGTTTTTTAAAAGATTCTACGTCGAGCAATCGAGATGTGCGCCGGGTAATTTTTGACGGTTATGACTAAAGCCGGCGAGACTGTTATGAATAAAAAGCAACGCGGAGTTCATTGGCATTTCTCTGTGCGCGCAAAAGAAACAAAGATCAGGGAAACTGGTATCTGTAATTGGAACGCAAGAGTTGCCGGCGTCTTCGCCGTTATTGGATAAAGTAAGGATCGTCGCGTATAATTATTACTTTTGTACTCTGGGACGATATAAAAATTCTCTTTTATCATCGGTAGACGGCGAGGATCATCGAGATCTCTCTAGCTGTCGTTTCTGAAGACACGCCGATGACCTCCTCGCGAATGGGGCACGAAGCAACGCGCGTGTGCGAACGGACGCTCACTATCGCGCGTACACACGCGAAGATAATGACAGAGCTGCGGCGTAGTCGGGGATATCCGGTTTTCTATTACTAGTCCGGGAATGGGCGCGTACGTGGTGTAACTGCACGGCGCACGTGTGCGTGTATTCGTTCCTTCGTTCGCTCGCGTGGAGTCGTGGGAGAGCTTCACTTCAGGATTCGGAATATTCTAAGGAAAATGCAAATACCGCTGGAAGTTTGGCCAAGGGGAATCGCGCGTGTCGATCCGCGCGTGTGAGTGCGCTCGCTCGCGCGCGCCTGCATGTGTGTATGTGTGTGTGTGTGTGTGTGTGTGTACAGATGCATGCAAGCCCACCTCGGGATAGGCGTCCCCCACACCTGTTTGTATTCCGCAGTCGGATGCCTGTAAGGAAATTGCGGCGTCTTCGGCGAAATCCGCGACGCCGTCACCGCGATTTCCGCTGTCGACTCGTCTCTCCTCGTTCCGCCCTCACCCACAAGCATCCGCCCGTCAGCCGCCCCTTGCCCCCATTAAGGACCCGATCCGGCGATTGATGTTCCAGGTCGGCTGGGTGAAGGCGGACACGAAGGCGATTCAGGCGATACACGACCACGTGATCACGCACAATCAGAGGGTGACCGTGTCCCATAGCGATCACACCATGTGGAACCTTCACATCAAGGGTGTCCAGAGGGAGGACGGTGGGCTCTACATGTGTCAGATCAACACGGATCCCATGAAGAGTCAGGTATGTACCTCACCGGACCTCTCAGTGATACGAGTCGATATATGGCGCGCCGACAAGTTTGCGCGCGTGCCTACGCAGGGTCACGTTACGGTCCGCCTCAATTTGGGATCTATTTCCTCCTTACAAACTGGAGGAGGACACGACCAAGTGCGCCACTTCAGCGCATTGTCCCGCGAGCATAACCATTATTTATTGATTTATTCACGACTCACAGGCTGCTGCTTACGTGAACGACGCCGTATTCGGGAGCAGCTTTTTTTCTAATGCAGCGCGAGCTTCAATTACGAAGTTTCCGTCGTTCATTCGGAGCGACGTCCGTTTCGGAGGCGGCACGCGCGTTAAATACCGGCCAGCGGGTAAATTTAACGAGGCGCAAGTTTCGCGAGCGATCGCGAGCTTTGCGAGAGCGACGACATCGCGGCGTCGGAAGTATCGTTAGGAAGTTTCCCTGAGAGCGCCTCTAATAGTAGCAGTTTGCCCCGTTTTAGAAACGCGCGAAGCCGCGGAAGGAACGCGCGGAATTCGCGTAGGCGCGGAGACGGTCGTCTATTTGACGCTGCGAGCATTTCCGGTAGCTACATACGCTTCATCTTCACTTCTGTAGCGAAAACCAGCTCTGATATTTTCCTTGAAACCAACGGTAACTTCGCGTCTCTGATTAAAAAATTTACTTTAATCGAGATTCGCGGTATAATAAAATATGTGGAGCACTTTACAGTTCAAATGAGAGTAACTAGAAATAACTCGCAGGTTATATAATTATTTAAAAAAGAAAGAAAAACTGTATCGCGGGAGGTTAACCTGATTTCGCCTGTTCAAACATTGCAGTTTAGTGCTTGTTTATTTAGTTTGTTTATTTAGTGAACAGATCACACCGACTGTTTTCCTGCGATCCTTAAAACAAATTCGGAAACGAATACACCAAAATTGACAACAATGAAAGCGAACAGCGCGTTCTGGTATCTTTCTTTTTTCTTTTACACCGTAACGCCCGTACCTTCCTTTGACACTAATTTCGATATTTTGCCTGGATGCAGTAAGCCCGGGTACATAGGTCCTATTTGAAACTAACCGCGGTAAACCGACAGACTCGGTGAAATAATTAATTAGGACGGAGTCCTGTCGATTGTATTTAGGCTGGTGAAGCATAGAGACGCGTTATCAGTGGTCGAAAGGCCGTCGAGCGATTTTGAGCTGGCAAATTCACGTTTCGTATTATCGCGCGTATTTCATCGCGTACTTTATTTCACAATTATACGCGTATATGAATTTGCAACGAAGATTTCGCGTAATATACTTCGGCATAATCCAAATTGCGCGTGGATTAAATTGAGGCTATTATAATTACTATACTAGATTTATCGCAATTTTAGTTAGAGAGACTTGTTTTCAATATTCGTCTGGGATATCTAATGATCCTTTCGCGAAATAATATCAGCGCGGTCGTACAATGGCAATGAAAAACGTCGCGAAGAACGACAATGATGTTCTCGCGTGTAAATAAATATTCTTCCATTCCGCCACAATCGGCTTTAAAAGGAGATGCGACCTTTCGACCTCCAGCGCGGACTTAACTTCGCGAAGGATGACGGTTTTCCGATAGAGGCTTAGCTTATAAAAGAGTCACTGAATATGAATCGTATCTTTAACGCGCTTCTCTTTCACGTTTTTCTCGAAATAAACCCATCAAGAGAAATTGCCCCGCGTGTCATAAGCGCTCCGCAAACGAAGTCGAACAAGGAGGAAATTTCTCTCCGGAAAGTTTTGTCTGAAAATATGCAGTCCACGCAGAGAATGTTCAATCATTTTTACACGAATTCTATGAATGATACCGCGTGGTCAATGGTTCCTTGGCAGGGACAGACAAACATGACATAATTTCACGACGTCGATTTTGAAAAGATCTGTCTGTCTGAAATGGGCAGGTCTTTTCTAGCGTAGCGAAGAACACTGCAATAATCGCGTTAAGTCGCTGAATGGCTTAGCAAAACAATTAATTGAGCCCGCTCGCTGCCAATGATGCTCGCATCGATAAAGTGCCAAGATGCATCCGAGTTAATCGATAGTTGGCCAGTTACAATCGGACCGTGTCCCACTTGGCTCACGCAATTAATCATCCTGGTCTCAGTTTGCTAACTATCATTAACATAATCCACTGGCATAGTTCGCGCGGCCTCGCTCGCATTACAACACGGAAAATCAGGAAGATCTCTCGAAATTTACATTTTCGCCCTCACGTCAAACATTCCAGCGCGCGATATCGAGAAGACTCCCTCTCAGCGAAACTTTTTTACTCTCACTTTCTACACAACAACATTCCGAAAGAATATTCTCCGGAAAAAGGAGAACAGGCTCTCGAAGTTGAGAAATCCCGGATTGAATTTAGGAGTCATTAGCAGGTAGCGAATCAGATGGAAATTGCGAAACCGCGCAGCTCGCCACAAACATAATATCTAACCGCGGAGTTGCGACCTTTGTTTGATATTATTGGCTTATGCGTATTAATTATAAACGTCGCGTTCATTATCGTATTCATTACGTTTCTAGTGAAGCTTCGGATAACGCGAAATCAAGAGAACGAGAGAGAGAGAGAGAGAGAGAGAGAGAGAGAGAGAGAGAGAGAGAGAGAGAGAG